ACGTATAAGCAACCCACAATTCTAGTGGTTCCGAACTTTCAAGGTGCATTCGACTTGGATGACCGGTCTGTTCTCTTTGACACGGTTTCCGATCAAGGAATTTCCCCAAAGTTTATGAACGTAATAGGTTCTTTATATTCTCAAAGTTCCGGACGTGTGCAAGTATACGGAGAGCTCTCCAGAAGCTTGCCTACACGAAGCGTTGTCCGTCAGGATTTCTAATCCCATCCCTATTTAATTTCGTGATCGACGAGATAATGCGACAAACGCTGGCAGGTCTTCAAAATCACGCTGCTCAGATGGCCGCTGAAGTGTCGATTCGGAATGTGCAGACAACATCGTTTTCGTCTTCGAAAAGGAGGACAAAGCTCCGGTGGACCCACACAGTAGAAGATCATGCCCGTGGACATGTAATGACTGAACACGCCAACTGTGATCCAGGGAGAGGTACTCGAAGTTGTGAGGGTTTTCACGTATTCCGAAAGTTTTGTTAACCGCAATTTTAGTGTGGCAGGTGAGGTCAATGCAAGGTTCGGGTCGCATTTGCTAATTTGAGGCACATATCATCATCATCATCATCATCGTCGTCAAAGACAACAACATCAGTGTTGCCACTGATGCTTCACTGCCGTACAACCATAAAGTTCGTTTATATATATATATATATATATATATATATATATATTGAGTACATAGTTCAGGCACTCCATAGTGGATTATCATCGGATATTAACGACTTCAGTTTTATAGTTTCGTTGACAGTACTAGTAACAGTACTAGCAATCTGTGGCCAAAAGTGCCTGAAGAGTCGCCCAAATGTTGAGAAGCAGGTCTGGACGTATATGGGTAAATCCTAAAGTTGGTACGGNGTATATCCCTGAATCTCAGACTACAGTACGGGGTGTTTTTTTATATGGCTTTGAAGCTTGGCCTGTTCGAGCAGCGGAAGTGGAACACCTTCAGGCGTTCGATAATCGTTTTCTAGGGACCATACACCGTGTGGGTTGGTGTCGGCTTATTCGTAATGAGACAACTAGAATACGAGTTTTAGGTTGTGCAGCGGAGACTTCTATTGAAGAATGTGTCCAGCATCAGAAGCTGCGTTGGTTGGGGCGTTTTACCTATGCCTAACCATCGTTTGCCGAAGAGAGTGCTGTTTTACTTAGCCAATCCATAGTGGCAGAAGCAGAGAGGTGGCCCACCGTTGACCTGGCAAAAGGTTACGAAAGAAATCATGAAACGTTTGGGTACTGCCGGTGCTACTCGCTTTTCAGGATGGGGACCACGTGACCCACACTGCGCCTGGTTGGAGGCGCTGCATCTTATGGCTCCCAGTTAATGTTAAGAGCTTCGGGTGGCATGGTAGCTAGGAACCGAAAGGGTGTTCAGATGAACGATTTCGATTGGGCAAATATCATATCCATAATCAACTGTTCAAGACCCTCTCGATATTAGCAGATTGCTGAACAAACTGTCGCCGTGCAAGATGATTCGCGATGTGATAGAAACTACACCAAGGAATGAGAATCACTTGAGTAAAGTCAACCTCTGTGGTTCACTTGCAGTGGCCTCACTGACTTGTGGATCCTGTCTGTCCAGCGTCGTGGTCGTAATGGGTGGTCGGGCTGGGCCTCTGCCGATGCAGCTGATGGATATTCCGGGATGTGCCAAGATCAAAATTTTCCAGGAGCATCTCTAGACTCAACTCACTCTGTCATGTGGGAAGGATCTGCGCATCTGTCGACCGGATTTGGTTTATGTGGCATATCCACCTTGCCGGGTCAACTTGAATCTCTTAGAGCACTTCTCTGCGCCTGCGAAAGATGTGTCCTGGAATCCACGTAGGGTGTCTGCCGCTGTAGTCATCAACACTCTGACTTTCGCTGAAGGAGCGCGCGGTTGCTCCATGATGCCGGTTGAACTGCTCCTCCGTTCTTGTGTTGCGGTGACTAACGTGCCTTTTCTGCCGCCGGATAGTGTCATTCGGTGTTCGAAGCATCTTTCGGAGTAGTTCATCTGCTGTTGACACCCCATCAGGCGAGTTGGAGTTTGGCGTCGCTCTGTATGCCAGCAGGAACCTTTGCAAAATCTCTTCCGTTGGCCTCTCCCCTCTGGACCTCTGAAGAGCTCTTCAGTGTCAGCGAAACGTTTCGCCTGCCCGTCAGTGAAACGGCGGCGAAAGGACATCAGTTGGGCCGTACACCCGACAAAACTCTGCCAACGCTGATCATGTGAAGTGACCCTAATGGCAGTTATGAGGCCGTTCAGTGGAAAAAGTTCCGGCCATCTGTTGTGGGCATCAACAACGACCAAAAACTGTCGCGCACTAATTGGACCTGCATAGTCGAGGTGAAGATGAGACCAGGGTTTGGTCGGTTGCGGCCACGACAGTAGGTAGCTTTTCACAAGTGACTTGGATGCTTCACACCGCAAGCAAGATTTGGAGACTTGCTCAATCTGGGAATCCACCAAAGGCCGATAGATGTAACTCTGAGCAAGGGCTTTCATCCTGTTCATTCCCGAGCGCCATTTATGAATTTGATTCAGGACGCCTGGTTGTAACTTCTTCGGGATAATAACGCGTTCCGAAAACGAGAGGCATTCATCGGCCAGTGATAGTGCGTCCCATCGGTTGAAGTAAGGTCTCAGTTCGTCTTTTGGGCAGATACGCGCCACTGATTGTAGTAGTTATTAATGTCCTGCTGCAGCACTGGTTCTTGGTGGGTAGCCTGGTGGACCATGTCGGCGGTCAGTGGAATAGTGCGAACCGCTTCGGATATTACGCGGTTAACCACCGGTTCAAGGACAATCGTTGCGACTACAGTATCTTCTGGTTCTGACCTGCTTGCATCAATGAGTCGCGCCATTGCGTCGGCTTTTCCGAGGTTGGTGGTGGACTGGTACTAGGTATTGAAGTCATATCCCGGAAGCAGAATGGCCAATCGCTGGAGGCGGTTGCCAGTATATACTGGGATTCCTTTCTTCGAGCCAAACACAGCAAGGAGTGGCTTGCGATCGGTCAGTAGGGTGAACTGATGGACATTAGTACATTTTATGAATTTTTGACGACAAGCACGATTGCCAAATCCTCCTTTTCTATCTGACTGTAGTTGCGCCCGGCTAGTGTCAAGGATCTGGCCGCATGTACAATGGCCTTCTGGCTGCTCTCGGGAATTACATGTGAAATTATTGCACCAATTCCATAGTTCAAAGCATCCGATGCCACATGCAGAGTAGTTGGTCCGTTTAAGAACACCAGTCTTGTGTAATCGGTCTAGTTCCTGGTCAGTGAGGGGTAAGGCTGCTTATGGTACTGAGCGTTTTCGCCTGAAAACTTGTTTGGCACTGGGCGAAAAGCACAGGTTGGCTATTGCTTTTGTGAACCATCCAAGCTCGGCGGAGAATATTGACGCATAGCGTTGTTGTAGCTTCGATAGTGAGTTTGTTCGGGGGCGTCTCCGAGTGCTGCGTGCGTGAGGTTGCAAATAAAATGAATAGGCTTTTCCAGCAGGTCTGGCTTGTCGATTCAATCCAGCCCCATGAGATCACGTTTGGGGGCGTGACGTCAGGTAACACATGGCTGGTGCCGTCGAGCCAGTTATTCTTATGGAGCAGTCAACCTCACCAGAAGCGTTACGGGCCAATGTTCGGTCGGTTTGATCTGCGGCTTTCCATGTTCTTCCACTGAACAGCGTGATGTTGGAGCCCGTATCAAGCTGCAAACGAACTGGGGTGTTATTGGTACGAACCGTCACGAAAAATCAACTTTGAATGTCACCATAAAAAAGCGTTTAGCTGTAGCACCCTTCCGGTGCCTAGCTGCCATGCCACCCGAAGGAAGCATGAGGACTGGGATACTGCCAGGTTGCCCAAGCCTAGACAGGGGAATTCGAGTGGCGGAGGTCGGATTCGAACCACGGACCTTCCGGTCAGTAAATTCGCGCTCTAACCACTTGGCTCATCTCGCCCCAATGTCACCATCGCCGAATTGGACCGCAATTCGTTAGCTGCACTGTGATGTGCGGGTTGCTGCAGCCTTTGAAATCGACATAAATCTTCTTTGTGGCCACGATGAATGCACCTGGCACATTTGTGATGCCTAAACCTGCAATAACGAGCAACATGTCACTCATCGCAATGCCAGCAACTTGTAGGAGACTTGCTCTGTTTTCGATCGGTCTTGATGTCAGATTTCTTATGCGCTGAAGTTGATTGCCTGTACACAGCTTCTTGAAGCAACAAGTAACTGGCAGATTATAACCGTGTCGGGCTTTAGGTTGGTGAGGCGTTGACATTCAGTGGTGAGGCTTCGCAACGTCATTTCGGCATCCTATTCAATTCTGTTAAGCAGCCGGATTCTGATGTCAGCATCTCGGAACGACTGTAGACCGGATACAGAAATGATACACTTGAACTGGATCTCCGCCATTTAGCTGAGCTTGAAACGCTAGCATTCCCAAATGACAACACCGACGAACGTGATGAAATCATCATCATCTTTCCCGACTAACTTTAGGCGTTAGTGACGAATATTGAACAGCGATGTTGGATCTCTGAATATCTGAGACAGTGTTCTGACCGTTTTATCAAAGCTTATTTTGCGGAGCATATTGGGGAGAATAAACTATGTGTAACCTTCATGCTCTGGTATGCCGAGTTTTCGCAGCAATAATATGACTTTCCATCGGTCATCAAACTTGGAAAATCAGTCTTGAACATGTCTTCGTATTGCCTGAACCAGGAGTCAAAAGTGTGATAAGTAAGAAGGCCAAATGTGAACTCCGTGATTGGAGTCGTGGCTGCATCAGTTGAGTAACTAGAAGACTCAATATTACTGGCTGCTGCTGTCTGGATATACAGTCTCTGAGTCAGTGGTCCGATGAGCTTCGGTTGCGCTTCTTCAAACTAATTTTGTTGCTACTACCCTAATGCTCGGAGCTGACTAAATTCGATTTGCATCGTGGGTTCCCCTTTCGCCAGTTGTGCTAACGGTACCTTCCTTAGCTTAGTTTTCTGTCTGGACCTCCCAAGCTAGCGTTCCCATCAAAACAACCACCAAAGGTGTACAACGTATATTGACGCTCAAAACCGAGTCCATAACACTTGTATTGCACGTCGTATATGTAGTATAAGTGGTGACAGCTTGAAAATTCCGATGATTCTGGGTATGCCATTGGCAACCTGCATTCGACCAGTACGGGGACATAATTGGCTCTTGGGTCCAGACTTTCGACCAATCCGAGCTCGGCAAGCGACCCGTACTTTTGGCCGATCTTGTGCGGGATAGGCTCCTCGGCCGTAGCAGCGCGTAAACTCGATCGGTATCCATGTGGAATGACGCCTAACAATCCAACTTTGGGGGCTCGAGATAGCTCAATGTTTAAGGCACCAGCTTACGGACGGGAAGATATGTGGTTTGAACCCAGCCTCATTATCAAGACTGCTCTTGTCTGGGTTTGAGCATCTTGAAATTATCTCAGCCCTCGTACCTCTTTCGTTTGATATCGCAGCTAAGCACCGAAAAGGGTGCCACAGTTGAACCAGTCCACCACCAGCCTAGGACAAGCCGACGCACTGTCACACCATTATTTCAGGCAGGCCAGGACCAGTGGATAACGTAGTCGCAACAGTTGCCTGAGAATCTAAGGTGAAGCTCGTAGCATCGAAAGTTGTTCGCATTCTTCAAGTGACTGCTGTTAGGGTCCGCCAGACTGCAGATTAAGACCCTGTGCTGCAGCAGGTCACCAATTATCACCATAACCAATGACCGCCTACTAGCCCACAAGACGAATTGAGTCTTTACTTCAGCCGGTGTGGCGGATTATCACTAGCCAATGGATGCCTTTTATTTTCAGAACGCGTTGTCATTCCAAAGGAGCTACAGCTCGCTGGACTGAATCAGTTTCATATAGGGGACCGGGAAGATTCGTTGAGGATTAATAGGAGAGGGGAAGGAGCCATTTCTTCAGCTTTCGGTATAAGGAACAGCGCCCGGATGGCCGCTAAAATGAAGTCAATTTGCGAGCTACGCAAAGTGACACATTATGGACGGCCGGAAACGAAGGTTAAGGGGAAGCATGTGGGCGACAATCTAGAACAGGAACGGGATGAGACAATTTATATATATATATATATATAATGTTTACCACACATAATATGTTTAATGTTGACTCGGACAACCGAATAGCCGCGATTGGAAGACAGTGCAAAGTCAGGAGACATACAAACAGAATACTGAGCGTTTAATGGATCATTATGACGACTTTTTGCCGAAGCTGTCCGACCAGGTGAAATTAACAGCGGGCATCGTCAAATGTCAACAGCTCTTAGGGAAACCACATAAACCGCACCAGCAACAACTCATCATCATCATCATCGACAGCATGATATCAGTGTTCAACACCGATGCTTCACTGCCGTACAATCATGACTTATTTGAAAGCCTTATTGTGAAGAAAAGAATAAAGGTGGATGAGGAAGGGACTTAGTGCTAGCTTGACACAATCATTCCGGGGTGCCTACACCTCCAGACATTCACTCAGGCAATCTGGACAGAAGCTGGCAACAACTACTACATCGATGGTAAACTCAGACCATTCAAATGCCGGGTAACGAAGAGCCCAAAGAATGACTGAACGCGCTGCTGGATTGAGAAAGCCCTGGAAATGCCGCAAGAATTAACTACGCCAAGCAACATGGCATAGAGGCGAAGTATGGAGTTCGCAGTTCATTGAGTTTCTGGAACTTTTTTCAAATCCATAGGCCGTTTGAATGGGGACAAACTATGCAGAATGCTCGACCACGTCTCTTCGTTTGATACATGCATACCATTCCGATGCAATCCAAAATTAACCACAAATTATTTTTTTCAGCGAACACAGCCCTCCATTTAGCCGTTCACGCGAAAGCTACTAAGCACCCATGGTAAGTCCTTCGTTTGTTATGCTCCATCATACTGTGCGTTTTTGTCTTCTATTATTTCTGTGAATTGTGCTTCATCAGAATATGCTTCGTAGGTGGCTTCATTTTCCACTTGCTTCCCAATCGGATTGGCCGTCGACAGTGGTCAAACCACGAGGTCTGGGCACAGTTGAAAACCACTGACAGGTTGTGCTGAGCTGACTGTTGTGCTGCACGCAAACCCTTGGTGCCACTGCAACTCTCGGGGATAACACTGGCGGACAAGCATGCGGAGGCCTATCGCAAGCCATCAACGAGCCTTAACCTGACAGCGTATCAATAGGTACGAGGATCATCCGACAGTTCATTTAAGTTTCACCGTAATATCACACCTCTCCCAGCACAGCATCGTGTGGGTGTGACCAGGAACCGTGCATTAAAATACCTTTAAAACTGTAGTGGATAATCTAGCGGTATTCCGCTTGATGGTGTCATCTTTGAGGTGATAATATCGGGTGGCCAGCGTGACCAGGATGCATTAAAATACCTTTAAAACTGTAGTGGATAATCTAGCGGTATTCCGCTTGATGGTGTCATCTTTGAGGTGATAATATATATCGGCCAGCCATCAGAAAATGTAACGAAATTAGCAGGTTTCAGGACAGTGCGCAATGGATCTGCCATTTGCGTCAAAGCCTTTGATTAAGTCCGCAAACAATTCATCGAGTGGTTGATTCCGTTGTCTTGGATATCCATATATATATAAACATTGGGAGATGTATTTTCAGGTTAACTAAGTACCACAGAGTGTCAGAAGGAAAAGAGCGAACTTTTGTTGGTTCTTTTGCGCGCGTTTGAATTTCTTCTGTCTGTACAGGTTAGGTGACCGTCACACTACTAAATGCAGGTCCTTCATTTGCTTTGACACTGCGCAATATCTCATCGTCTTTAACCACATCGCTCCGAAGTCCTTCGAGCCCCGATCAGGAAGCGTAGTAACCAAGCTTTTATGTCCCTTGGCCAAGTCGTCCGCTGTTGACTCTCGCGTTTCTTCGATTAGGGCTAACCAGTTACAAACCGCGCATGTTATGGTAGGCGTTACGTTGACATGCGTAACCGATGCATCGAAATGTTCCTTTCTAGAGCCGGGCTGGACAAGACAGGCACTCTCCGATCTTGTCATCGGGCGCGGGCAATGCTATGCAGTCGCCAGATATGTTCAGCTTGAGTTGATGTAGTTCCGCAACTGCGCTAGCGCGACGGGACATCGGCTGTGTAAACACCTTGTCTCGACGGAATACTAGTGTCACGTCAACACCAGATGTGTTGCAAGCTTGAAAATGCAAGTCTGGTATTGGTATTTTCCGAAAAGAGACCGTCACTCTCCTATAGATAGGACACGACTTCTCAAGCCATTACCTCTTGGGAAGCTCCCCCCTTCAGTTCTGGCGAGCAGTTTTAAGTTTGCACGGTGCAAAGAACATCCGATACCGTAACAGTTTGATCGCTAAGCGCCCCAACAGCTGTATTGTTATAGTGCTACTACTCACTACAACGGCCTACCACTGTTCAAGCTCCCGAATCTGCTTACCAGTTCATATTTAAGCCGATTTGCCCATTGTAGCATCGACGGCAAAGTTGCGAAGTAAAGATTTGGAACGACCACGCTGAACTATAACAGAAAAGGGAGCAGCTACGATGCTTTCTCTTAACATTGAGCTTAAGTCAACTTTTCATGATGATAAGCCTCAAGAAGGGGTACATTTTGCAGCTACTTCCAACCTCTATGGGTGTTACGGTTCTGTCACGCAGCGAGCAAACAATATGATATGCGGATTGTGGCAATACTGTATCCCCAGCTATGTTGCTTGATCCAGACTCCTAGCACGGCGGATAGTAAGAAGACGAAAACCTCGGACACAAACTTTAATAATCCAAAAACACGCAATCAACAGGCGATTCCCCGAGCATCCGAACCCAAGTCAGTAAAAAAAATAGTATCGTGTAAGTAAGTGGTCGGATTTAAATTACTTGGAATATCAGTAGGCCATTTATTTATTCATAGTTTGACCCTGAAGATGCCGGAAGTTCGCTAGCACACATAAAACACACATCGTTTTCTGGGGGATATTGATATCCCCAACACCTCCCCTTGTTTTGTTGGTTCTTTTGCGCGCGTTTGAATTTCTTCTGTCTGTACAGGTTAGGTGACCGTCACACTACTAAATGCAGGTCCTTCATTTGCTTTGACACTGCGCAATATCTCATCGTCTTTAACCACATCGCTCCGAAGTCCTTCGAGCCCCGATCAGGAAGCGTAGTAACCAAGCTTTTATGTCCCTTGGCCAAGTCGTCCGCTGTTGACTCTCGCGTTTCTTCGATTAGGGCTAACCAGTTACAAACCGCGCATGTTATGGTAGGCGTTACGTTGACATGCGTAACCGATGCATCGAAATGTTCCTTTCTAGAGCCGGGCTGGACAAGACAGGCACTCTCCGATCTTGTCATCGGGCGCGGGCAATGCTATGCAGTCGCCAGATATGTTCAGCTTGAGTTGATGTAGTTCCGCAACTGCGCTAGCGCGACGGGACATCGGCTGTGTAAACACCTTGTCTCGACGGAATACTAGTGTCACGTCAACACCAGATGTGTTGCAAGCTTGAAAATGCAAGTCTGGTATTGGTATTTTCCGAAAAGAGACCGTCACTCTCCTATAGATAGGACACGACTTCTCAAGCCATTACCTCTTGGGAAGCTCCCCCCTTCAGTTCTGGCGAGCGGTTTTAAGTTTGCACGGTGCAAAGAACATCCGATACCGTAACAGTTTGATCGCTAAGCGCCCCAACAGCTGTATTGTTATAGTGCTACTACTCACTACAACGGCCTACCACTGTTCAAGCTCCCGAATCTGCTTACCAGTTCATATTTAAGCCGATTTGCCCATTGTAGCATCGACGGCAAAGTTGCGAAGTAAAGATTTGGAACGACCACGCTGAACTATAACAGAAAAGGGAGCAGCTACGATGCTTTCTCTTAACATTGAGCTTAAGTCAACTTTTCATGATGATAAGCCTCAAGAAGGGGTACATTTTGCAGCTACTTCCAACCTCTATGGGTGTTACGGTTCTGTCACGCAGCGAGCAAACAATATGATATGCGGATTGTGGCAATACTGTATCCCCAGCTATGTTGCTTGATCCAGACTCCTAGCACGGCGGATAGTAAGAAGACGAAAACCTCGGACACAAACTTTAATAATCCAAAAACACGCAATCAACAGGCGATTCCCCGAGCATCCGAACCCAAGTCAGTAAAAAAAATAGTATCGTGTAAGTAAGTGGTCGGATTTAAATTACTTGGAATATCAGTAGGCCATTTATTTATTCATAGTTTGACCCTGAAGATGCCGGAAGTTCGCTAGCACACATAAAACACACATCGTTTTCTGGGGGATATTGATATCCCCAACACCTCCCCTTGTGAAAAGTCAGTAACATACTCGACGGGGGTCGACCTGGATAC